TCTCAACCACTGGACCGCCAGGGAAGTTCTTAAAGCAATTAGAAATTTTTAAAAGCATTTACACTCAAGATTCAAAAGTCTTAACTGCAAACCATAAAAGGGGTGGTAGAAGTCAGGCTAGTGGAGGGCGGTAATGGAGGGGAGCCGGAGGGTTTTTGCTAGAGATCTGGTAACGTTCTGTTTCTTGAGCAGAGTGCTGGTGTGTTTGTGAAAATTAAGCAAGTTACATTTATATGTTTATATAGTTAAATACATGGTTAAAAATCAAGGAACAGGGAGTCTAGAATTTCTGTTAATATGTACCTAGGTATTTATGTCATACATCATACCTATGGCTTAAAAACACTTTCTCATTTGCAAAGTAAAACATTTCTCCAGAGAAAATTGTTTTTCATCTTCAGGGGATGGGAAGGGAACTCCGGGGCATCACGAATGATTGTTCCTGAAAAGCCCCGAGTGGGGAAGGTTTGAGAAAGGATCCTGCTTGGTTTTTGAATCGCTGTGTCCCAGGGGCAGGGGCTGGAAGTGGTGGCTCTGGGGACCTGTACTGCGCGGCCTGGCTCAGGGCCTGCCACGGCGGATAGGAGCGCAGGGCAACCAGACTTGCTCCCTCAGGCGCCCATCTCGGTTTGGCGACCTCGGGGAGTGGGCCGGCGGTCGCCGTCTGCCTTCTCTCCGAGCCCAGACGGCGCTGCCAGACTCGGATTTGAGAGTCGCAGCGGCCGGGGCGGCGGGCTGGGCAGGCTGGCTGGGTGGCTTTGAGCGCTCTGGGAACCAGCGGGGCGCAGCCCCTCTCCTGCAAATCTGCCCTTGTCGCTTCTCACCGCCGAGCGTTCTCCGGCATTTGTCACTTCCTCTTGTCATTTCTGGAGCTCCTTCCAGTGTCCTTTATGTCCCTAGATCCTCTCACCTCCCTGGATCGGGAATAAAGCGGGCGTAGTCATCTTCATTTTACAGATGACACCCACCCTGCCGCAGAGTGCAGAGAAGCCAGGCCCAAGCAGGACCAGGCCCTGGGATCTCCTACTTGCTGGTGTCCCCCGTCCTCTGTGTTTCCTAAGGAAGAAGATTAAAATTGGGGCGGAGGGGAGCGAACTGGCCACTCAACTGATGGAGACCTGGAGCAGTTCATCCCTGTGGGCCTCCGGGGCCTAGCCTGGGCAGCTGGGTGTCTTCAGACCTCTTGAGAAATAAAATAGGAAACAAATTGCAAACCCCAATACAGAATCCAAATCACTGAATGGGGAGGAGGGATGCAAGGGGGGGTGGCGTCTGCGGTCCTGACGGGGCGGGGATAGGGGAGGTTAAGTGGTGGGCACTGCAGACTTTTGATCTAGCAAACATCTTCCTCCTCTTCCTGGGAGACACAATCCCTCTTTCCGCCCCTCACAACCCCCTCCCAAGCCTCCAGCTCTGGAAAGCCAAGGCCCAGGCTTGAGCCTGTGTCTTCGGAATGTGGGCATTCTTTGGAACAATCACTTTATTGGGGACAGCCATCCCCTCCGCCCTGCGGTGGCCGCTTCCTGCGTTTTTATGGCCCGGCCGCCGGCCGCTGGCTAATTGTCCCGGTTTTCCAGCTGTGTCTCTGTGCTCTGCCCTGGAGAAAGGGCTCTGGCTTGCCTGCCCAAATGCTTTGGGAGCGGCCAGAGTTGATCTGTCCCCAGGGGTCACGCCAGGCCCTGGAGCTGGCCAGATCTCAGTGAGGCCCACTCACTTGGGGGTGTGGGGTGTGAGGGCTGGAGAAAGGACACTGATTGGTTTCCTTCATGGAAAAATGGGCCCCTATGGCAGTAGCATGGTCCCGCTCATGGTCCTGGGCCCTGGGCTGTGGGTGAGGAAAAAGGAGGCAACAACAATGTCCTTGGACAAGCTCCTTGGAGTGGAAATGTCCCCTCACCTCTGGGTTGCCCTCTCAGCCAGGAGAGGACCCATCTAGGTCCCTGCAGGGGCAGGGTGGTGGGAGCAGTCAGAGAGGGGTGGAAGGTGGCTGATGGGAAGGGAGCCAGGGTGTCTTTTTGTCTCCACGGCTTAGCCTCTGACAGCTCTTTGTGACGTGCCTATCCTCTGGAAACCTGCTCTAGATGGGGGAGGGGAGGCAGCTCCTCCAGCCTCGGGGTGCAGGGGTGGGGGCCTGGAAGGATGCAGGTGCCACCGGCAGCAGGGCCCCCAGCGGAGACCCAAGGAGCGTGGTAGCTTTCTGAGTCTTTTGGCCCGAGCTGAGAACCACCCTGGACGGTCGTCCCCAACTCCACTGCTCAGGGCTCTGTTCCAGCCCATACCTCCGTCTCCAGAGCAGCTTCAGTGAATTGCTCTGGAGAGAGGCAAACTTATTTGGGACGCTTGGGGGTGGGGTTGAGCTGGGGCTGAAGCTGTGACCCCATGGAGCCAGAGCCTGAGCAGGCTATTTAGGGCAGGAGAGGGTGGGGGGAAAGAGACCCAGGTAAATAAAGGGTCCGGAAGACTCCAGGGGCAGCCACGACTCGGGTTATCAAGAGGCCGTCCCTTTGTTACTGACAGTGTAGCGGCCCCTCCACATTCCTCGGAGAGGGTCGGAGCTTCCAGGAGCCCGGCCGCTGGCAAGGGCAGGGGCACCGAGGGGGGCGGGGGCAGGAGGCACCGGAAGGGGCGGGCTGCTCCTCCGGGCAGATGAGACACTCCTTGAATCCACAGATCATTGACAGGGCTCTCTCCCTGCTCAAAGGTCCCCAGTGTTTGCTCCAGCTTGGGGGACCCTGCTTTTCCCCATATTTGTGGCTCCTGGAACTGGGGCACCCGTGACCCTTGTAACCCTGATAGGCCAGGCTGTCTGTATCCACCTTAGCATGCAAGCCTACTTTCTGAAGCCCCTTTTAGGTCAAGGAAATCATCCAAATAACGCAGCCCTTGCAGACGGCCCCTCCTCCCCTGCACAGGAAGCCTTCACCCTGCACTGACCTGAATTTCCAGGATAATTAAGGAAGAGTGAGAAGGAAGAGAGTGTTGTCTGATGCAATTGTTCACCTTGGCAGTCTACACTGATGTGGAAAAACGACTCAATCTCTACTTAATTTGGAGTCAGGGAGTTCTTGGGCCATCGCACTCAGTGGGCAACCCCCTCACACAAAGGAAGGCTCTATAATGGGTGGTTTGACCCCAACACACCCCACCCTGCCACGCTACAGCCCGCTCGGCTAACATCTCTGGGAAGGAAATCCATCACAGTGTCCTTTCTGTAGGCCTCCCCAGAGTCCGCTGCCTGCTCAGCCCCATCAGGTCACAAAGGAGTCAAACATGTTCATCCTGAACAGCAGGGAGGGGCCGCAGCTGCCCACAGCTGTCCAGGCTTCATTCACAGGAGCAGATGTGTTTCCACCCAGTGGAGTCAAGAATGTTTTCCCCCAAGCAAACTGAGTCTCTGGGCCTCTCTACCGGAGGAAAAGTCCCTGAAATTGTGGCAGGTTATTGGTGGACTAGAGTTTTAACACTCAGAGTGCAGGAGAGAGGAGAAAACAGCAAGCTTTCTCATGCAGGGCAAGGAACACATTTTTTTTTTCTCCCCTCAAAGCCAGGAGGTCTAGGAAAATAAAAAGCCTCAGGAAAAGGGCTGATATTTGGGTGCAGAAATCTGGTTTTGCTCACTGGCTGAAAGTTATGTGAATACATGGTGGTTACACATTTTCTTCCTTTTTTTTTCTCCCCCCCCCCCACAAAATCAGTCTCTGGACACAGTGTGGATGTTGTATAACACACCCTACTTCTGTGTGATGCATGAGCACAGAGCATGATTTAGAGCCCTGAGACAGAGCACTTGGGATCTCACCCCAGAGGGAAACCCTAATGCTGGAGAGGAGAGGCCCCCAGGCCAGCAACACCTAAATGTTCTCACGTGGCTTTGACGTGGAGTTACCGTTTGTTCACTCCCCAATGTCTAGTGCCTAGAGTGACCTTTGTTTGTCATATGAAAATATGTTCCTAGGAACCCCTACGCAGTAGGCTTTATGTGGCTGAAGGAAGCGGCTCAGATAAAGGTTCAGCTCTCCTTGAGTCACTGAGCCCACTGGGAAGTTACTCTCCCAAGAGGGGGGACAGAGGACTTAGTGTCTGTAGCCCTTCCATTTTACAAAGGAGAACTCTGAGGCCCAGAGGGGTTGGGTGATGTTCCCAAGGCCACACAGCTAGCTGTCCCAGTCACGACCCTTAAGTGAGCTACTATAGGGGCACTCTTTGTAACTCAGAGCACTCTGTAAAGATGTAAATTACTACAGGGCTGCTGGTGCCACCCTAGAAACACTGCCTTCTCAACCCCAAACCAACTGGCCTCCTTGCCGGAACCCAAACTCCCCACCACTCACACCAAAGAGTCGCAGAACAACCAGGTTCAGCTGTTGTGACACTTCTGACTGCTTTCTTTCGGCGTCCTATTTATTTCTCCCTTTCACAGGCACCTGCTAACTGCAGTTTATTAGTTTATTGAATGGTGAGTTTTCCATTGATTCCATCCAGATTTTTCTCCAACTGCCAACGAAGGTATCCATCCACTCCTGTCCCACAGTAAATACTTTCTGAAAAAGAGCTCGTCTTTATTTTTGAATCGGAACCCCGTATCCGGTGGCTGAACTCTGGCAATGCGTCACATTTAAAATGACGAAAGGTTATGCCAAGAATTGGGTTGTCTTTCTTCCCGCACCCGTGTCCGTGCACATCTTTGGACACCCAGACCCTAAAGCGTACCTGTCTGGGTGACGAAAAGGAGGCCCCCATTTAATTACCCGGTAACATAGGTGAGTGGGACTGAGCTCGGGAATTCCCAGCGGGGACGCTCGCCGGGGGGCGCCCCCTGCTCGCCGGCTGGCCTTGGACATTTTAAGGGGGAGTGAAAGTCGGCGAAGCAGCCCCCCATCTCGGAAGGCAGCGTGCGTGGAGGGGTTGAAAGGAGCTGAAATCAGCTCCTTGCTCTCCAACTTTTCTTAGAGTTGCCATCGTGCTTTCATAACGAATTAGTAAGTAAAAGTATTAATTATTCACCCTGGAATCCACACCACCGCTTCTGCGCCCCCTCCCCCGACATCTCTCGGCGCGCTCCGGGCCACCCCGCCGCCCAGGCTGGCGCGCACGCTGAGGTCCGAGTCCGCGGTCGCGGTCCCCGCTCGTCGGGGTCTGTCTCCCGCGTCCTGCGCACCGGAGCGCGGGAACCAGAAGACGTCTCCGAGGCCGGCACAAGCCCAGGACGAGTCACTGTTTGAGCAAAGATGTGGCAGGAAACAAACTGCCCTGCCAGACCTCGGCAGCCTCAGGTTACCGGCCTGCAGGAGGGCCGGCCTGGCCTCTCTGCTCCTACCGAGAAGAAAGCAGCAGCCCCCGGGGGCTTTTGCCGGGGTCTTCCCCGCCGGCGCCCACGTCTGCGTCCCGCGCCCTCCCGCCCGCGCGGCTGCGAGCGCTCGGGGCTTTGGAAGAGGCACTCTTCCTTCTGCCCCAGCTCCTTTGAAGGGGCGGATCTAGCGTCTTCCCCCACCCGGATCCCCTCCTGCAGAAATAAACAATTTCACCGACAAGCTTTGAGCCCTTGAAAGGTAACTGTGTAACTGGAGACACAGATCGTGCCTTGAGAGGGCCAGATCGCATCCCCTCTCGTTCTAAAAATACGGCTGAGAATCTTGCCTTGGGGAGCCCTGCCTATCTTAGCTTGAGCATATTTACATAAAGAGCTCAGACTCTGCATTTTGGGCTCCATCTGTCTGAGAGCTGGACTCACCCCAGGGCTGGGCAAGGTACCTTCAATACAGTGTATTATTCTCAGGCTCAGGCCCAGCCCTTGGCGCTTGTATCCTGGACCAGAAAACCCTCTTCGCCAAAGCAGCAGGTTTTTTGCGTGTGTCAGGAAAGCCCCCAAGTCACCCTGGCTGGAGGGAGGTCAGCGTCTAGCCCCAGGCCCAAGGGCCCCAACTTTGCATCCAGGTCCTTTGTGACGTGCACCTGGTGCTCCTACATCCAGAGCTGGCTCTGGCACCCGCCTGCCCTTGGCAGGGGAGGCCCTGGAGCTGTTGTACAGGTTCGGTGGGGTCACAGCTCACTTCCTGGCTCCCCTACCTACCACGCTGACCAGCCTCTGGCCTTCACCCTCACCACTAGCGGGGAACGTCTGTAAGATGGCAAAGGGGAGTGGGCTTCCGTGATTAAAATTCTTGTGCTACCACAGTGGCTTCTCTCTGTGGAATTTAGCCCCCAGCCAAGGGTGCGGCCACACCGCTTTTTATGGAAAGGTTTTCTTGCTGCTGTGTCCCTCAGACCCGGCCTGGTCACTAATGGAGGTTCTTGTCTTCAAAAGGGCCAGCTCTGCCTCCACGGCTTACCCCGTCTGCGGTGAGGAGGACGGTATGGCTTGTTTCTCCTTTGCCAACAGAGGCCTACGGAGTATTTGTCGGGGTTCGTTAGACCTTCCAGTGCAAATGGCTGGCTGGCTGGGGGGTGAGAGAGAAACGTGGTGGGCTCCTCCTGTGTGAGTGGACTTTCTGGCCACCAGTGCAGAGCTGCCCAGTCTGGCCTCCTTTGGCCAGAAAGCTTTCTATGGGCACAGATCTTCCCTCATCAACCGCTTTATCAGTGCTATGGGGTCCCATCTTCGTGTGGGGGGGTGCGGATATCCAGCACTACTCAATGAGTGTTATTCAATTATTTTAAAAATTATGTTTAATGACATGGTTTCCAAGGACTCTGACAAACCAGCTCTCCTGGGCCCACCTCCGGGAGAGACGGGAGGCCGCTGGCCCTGACCTTCAGGCCCGTCCATCCTAGACAGCCCCCGCTCCCAGCCTTCTCTGCCCCAAGGGGCGCCTCCGCAACGCCGGCCCCTGCGGGGCTCTCTCCTGCCCGCCGTCCCCCTGCACGCTGCTTTCCCGGCGCTTTGCTGTCCCAGCTCTGGCTCCCGTTCGTGTCCCAGAGCCAGAGAGGCGCTTCCACTCACATGTAAATGTCGCGTGCAGCAACTAAGGTGGGAGAAGCAAAAAGAAACAGACGAACCGCTGCGGAATAAAAGCTTCCTTTTCCGTCCGTTTTGCTTTGCGCCTGGGGTTTGGCAGGAGAGGGTGGGGAGCCAGAGAGAGCTGGATTAGCGCCCTGGAATCCGCAAAAGCTGGTGTCAGCGGGCCGCTAAGGGAGTGAAGAATTGGAGCAGTGAGCTGGATAAACCGGGAGCGGTGCGGGGAGGGGGGGCCGCAAAGCACGCAACTATCTATTTTGGCAAAGCGTGAGCACGCTGGTAGGTGGACAAAAGGGCTTACTATTCGTACGTAAGACTGCCTCGGTTCTCCCCGGCCTTTGTGCGCGGGTGTGGACGCTGTTCCAAGCGCAGCGCGCGCGCCCGCGGCCCTTGCGCGTCACGACGTGCGTCCCGGGTCGCTGGCCGGCGCGGCCGCTACGGCTCGGCGGCGTGGCCCCCGAGGAGGGGTCGGCGAGACGCCGGCGGCCGACCTTCTTCGCCTCGCCCAGTGCGGTGTTCAGCTCCTGCGCCCGTGGGCGCTGCAGCCGGCGCGCCCGCTCGCGGGGCACCGCCGCCCGGTCGCTGAGGCGCGCGGCGAGCGCACACGGGAAGCCGGAGCGCGCGCGGTACTGCGCGTTGAGCTCGGCCAGCCAGAGCCGCTCGGCCGCGCCCAGGCTCGTGAAGCCCGCGGCGCTCTGCTCCCGCTGCGACTCGGCGCTGAGCTCGCCCCGCTGCAGCTCGCGGCCCGCCAGGTCCGGGCGGCAGCGCAGGACGCCCTCCTGGCCTGCGGAGAAGCACAGACACGCGGCGGGAGCGCGGTACCGCGCCCCGAGGGGTTTCCGAGGGAAGCAGGGTGCCAGGACGTGAGGAGTGTCAACTAGGGGTGTCAGCAGGCTCGGGGCGCCCCCCGCACCCGTCCCTCCAATCCATCCCAAACCTCGCGCCCCTCCATCCCCGCTTCAGTCGGCCTCGGCCAGGACCCAGGGGCGGGGCGGTAAGTGACAAGTTTGTCCTTTGAGACCTTGGAGCGAGAAGAGCGTTGGGGAGAGGCCGCAGAGGCTAGGAATTTACGACTTGCTCGGGAGGGAGCAGGGACGCGATAAGGGAGCCCGAGCGTTTCGTATCTTTTCAAAGTCCTTTGCTCTCAGGGGGGCTTTGATGTCGCAGAGGGCCGGACACAAGGGCCTGAAGACTTCCTGCCAAAGCCACGGAATGGGTTTCGCTCTGTTCCAAAGGAGAAGGGCGGGGACGGTCCATGGGAATAACATCCGTGGGGCTTGGCGAATAAATGCCCAGGAATTGTGACCCTAAGTGTGAGTTCTGGGATTCTGGAATCAGGCATCCAAAGAGCTTTGCAGATGATTAACTGCAAAGAAACCCATTTCCAGCCGAATTCTACGGCCCTTTGAATGAAAGGGGCTTTCCTCCTTTTAGGAAAATAGCACCCACTCACCACGCACCGTTTCTGAGGCTCATTTCCCTTCTCCCACTGTAAATCTCAAAGAGCTCTCAGAGAATAACGTTTCCTCGGAAGAGAGCTTTCCTAATCTCCTAACATTGGCCTAAAACTGGAAACCCCTGATGTGATACCTGGGATTTCAAGTCCTAATCCACCGGGGTTTTCCTGAGCCCGGGTCAATCATTTTGCTTAGCTCTCTAAAGAGAGAATTAGAATTCTTGGGGCTGGGCAAGGTTTCAGATATGGTAAGCAGGGAGCCGGATCTGAACAGGGGGGCTGATGACACCTAACTTGCTGAGTAGTGGTGAGGATTAGAGACAACGCATTTACCCAAACAGCACCTAATGCTAGCAAATGTTCAATAAACAGCCATATTATGTGTCCTAGTAAACTCAGTGTAACTGGGCTGCGATGTGGCGGGAAGCATCTGACCCTGGGGCTAGGGACAGGCTTGGGGCTCCACTAGAAAAGGAGATCATTAACCCTCCCTTTAATTATGGTATAAACTTCCCCTGCTTAAATCTTAGTTTCTGCCCAGTTAAAGGATGATTTGGATTGTGCCATCTAATCGTGGACCAATGTCCTGAGAGGTGGGAGAACTGGGGGGAACATCTACACTGAAGAGAGGATTCAAGGGAGACTCAGAAAGGGGTAGGTGACCTTTCCAAGGTCACTGAGCCAGGAGCTGCCTGCCCAGGATCCTGGGCTCAAAACCACTTGCTTCAGGGCACTGGCTGCCCCTTCAAGGTTAAGGGGAGTTGAAAACGAAACTCATGTCACCAATAATCCAATCTCTGTAACACCACCGTTTCAGAACCCCTCTCCTGGGCCCTGTCCCTGGGGCACTGCAAAGGTCAAGTGGTTGGTTCCCACTTCCCACGTCCAGCGGATCAGGGCGGGGGCGGGGGGGAGGTGGTGCGAAAATGTAGGTGATAAATTCCCTGCCTGGGGGCCCCCAGCCCTGGGCCGGGAGGTGGCTGTGCTGGGCTGCTTCCCAGGCCTGAGGCCAAGCGGCACCCGAATCCGATCCGAACCCACCCAGCAGGGTCCGCGAAAATGGGCGGCGGGGGTCCTGGGCAGGCGAGTCCTGGGCGGCTCCCAGGCCGGAACCGCAGGCCCGCCCCGCGCCCCTTCCTTACTTATTCAGATTTTCAAAGACGCCTCGAGGTGAGGAGGTGAGGGGCCCGAGACCCCGCCGTCTCACAGGCCTCCCTCTCTCGGCTTCCCTTCCCCATTTCTTACTCTGCAGAGGCCCAGCTCCAGCGTGGAGGACGCGGTTATCGGCCGGAGGGCCCGGCAGGGGTGGGGTCTGTCCCCTGGCCGCCCCTACCAGACCCTCCTTTCCAGCGTGGGGCAGGGCTGCCAGCACCCCGGCCCTGGCACCCCGCTTGTCACTCCGCTGGCCTTGTCTCCCCTCTTGAAAACGTGACCTGGGGTTAATGTTTGCCCAGGATTGAGCATGTGTTTTCCACTGTTTGAGGGAGAAGGGGAAGAGGAAAGAAAGGAGGCTGAGAAGACAAAGCCAAAAGAAGAAAAGAGGCTAGAGAGGAGGGTTTACAGACACACACACACACACACACACACACACACACACACACACACACTCAGCTGCAGATAACAGGAGATGGTGGGAGTCAGGCAGGGAGTGGTAGCGCCGCAGAAATAGAACCTGACCTCATTCAGCCAAAGACTCCATCTTTATTGCCCCAAATCACTGACCCCTGAGTCCTGCCCAGGAGGGCACTGGCACAGCCGCACTGGCCTGTGGCACAGCCCTGGTTCCCTCCCAGCGCTGCATCCCCCAGGCACTCCCAGCCGTGGCCTTAAACCCTAGTAGGAGGCTGGAGACCTCACCTGGGTACTTGCCACCTCGCTGCCTCAGTCCTGTGGTCCTTCCACCTGGAAAGCCTAAGCCTAGCTGGGTTTGGTCAGTGGCCCATGCTTCACGGCCTCTCGGTGCTGCCTTTTCTTCAGTCCCTCCTAAAGCCTGAGAGAGTACTGCCTCTGCCATTGGCGTGCCACGGCTGGAGATGCAGGTGTGGACATGCATTGTTTGCTGTGACCACAAACCATGAATCCCGGCACAGAGTGGACACTCCTTACTTCAACAGGAGAGAACAGGGCAGACAGTGGCGGCCACTGAAGAGTAGGTGGTTGGCCTGGAAGCCTATCACGGTCCGCCAGGATCCCCACACTGTACCAACTGGTGTGTTTCTCCCTCCTGGTGCAATGGATCATCTGGACCAATCGCTCCACTTGTGTTCTTGGAGCCAGCCCCTCCTTCCATCTCAAAGGTTACAATTTCAAACATCAGTCCCACCACTGCCTTGTCCTGATCAGCACACAAACACTCCCTAGAGCCACTCACTCCATAAACAAAAGTAAAACCCTCCCTTGATTCCCCGTTGTTCCTCTAGTTCCTTCCTGCGTCTCTGCTCTTTCTTACAGCAAAACTCCTCGAACGAACTGTCTCTTCAGCATCTCCACTTCCTCACCTCCCTTCACCCCATCAAGCTTCATGCCCCACCCACCAACCAATCTGTACTCATCAGGTCACAGATGATGGACGGCTTGCTCAGGCCAGTGACCAGCGCTCTGTCCTCTTCTCTCTCAGCCTCTTGGGAGCATGTCACATGGTTGGCCCTCTCTCCTTGGAAGATGACCATCGCTTACCCACTCTCGTCAGTGCTCCTTGCTCTGCCAGACCACTAACACCGAAGTACCCCAGGACTCAGTACTCACATCTCTTCCCTTCTGCATTCACACGGATGCCCCAGGTGTTCTCTTCTAGTCCCATAGCTTTAACTGCCATCAATTCTTTCACGACACCCAGATCTAGTGTAGTCCACAGCTTTCCACTGAGTCCCTTTGTTATGAGCCAGCTGAACACTCAATATTTTAATCTGGATGATGACTAGGCATCTCAGACTTACCAAGCTCCCATCCTCCATCCTGTCCTCTCAATTCCGAAATTCTAATTTTAGAAAACAGACCACCAGCCACTCAGCTGCTCAGATTAAAAACGGAGGACTTATCCTTAATTTCTCTTTGTTTCTGACCTGCCTTCCCCCAACAAATCCATCAAAAACACCTGTTGGCTCTAACTAAAATCTATCCTGAGAATCCAGCCACATCTCTTCATCTCTCCTGCTCCAACCCTAGTTCACTCGACCATACCTCTCACTTTTACTGCTACCGCGGTCCCTCTGCCTGACCCCTCTTGCCTCCTGTCCCTCCACTCTCCACCATTCTCCAACCACCTTGGTCTTTCCGTGCCCCCCAAATGTCGAAAGTCTCAAGTTCCTTGTGTTAGGGTGGCCTTGTCCTAGACCTTCCACAGCTTCCCTCTCAACTTTTGGTTTTAAACTCAAATATCACTTCCTAAGAAAGACCTCTTTTATTACACATTTTCCACCCTATTACAAATTTTCTTCTAATAGTTTCTAGAATTGAAATGATCTTATTAATTTATGTTAATCCTGTGTCACTTCACTAGAATGTAAGCTCACTGAGGGCAGGGACTTGTCTTGTTCAAGGATCTATCCCCAGTGCCTGCGACAATTCCTCGGGCATAGCAGGCATTCAGTAAGTGTTTATTGACTGACACGTTGCTCTGGGGAAGGAGTGTTATGTATTCTTTGACCGAACAAACACATTTTGGTAGCCTCATCTAAATACCTCATAGCCTACATTTAAGGAAATTATTATTATCCGACTCTTTGATTCTTCCAACAACTGTGTTCTGAAATAAGTATTAAATAACGAATTATGGCATTACTGCAATTCTGAAATTCCACAAAGAGGTGCATGATTAACTCTGTTATGAGAGGGTTATTTGCTCTTTGATATTTCACACAAATCAGTATTGCATCGGTTCGTTATTAGCCGTGTGTGTGTGTGTGTGTGTGTGTGTGTGTGTGTACGTACTTTCTTCCCTTTACCATGCCATTCCTCTGGCTTGGGAATTAGGAATTGATTGGCTTGAAAGGGTACTTTGCCAAGCAGTGCTGGAGCTAAATATTAGTCCTGGACTGCCACCTACTGGTCAATAATCATCATAGCATCTCCTAAATGGATTGTCGACCTTAGTTTCCTCTAGAAACAGGATTTCCAGTTTTCTTTTAATGGTAGAGGGTGCTCTTAGATCATCTAAAACAAGTCCCTGACCAGTTAGATCATCATATCCTGAATATCACTTTAAGGTCCCTTTTAGTTTTAGGATTCAAAGACTCTATTACATCCAGTTTGTTGCTTACTATTCCAGGAGTAAAGCTAGACTATGCAGTGAATCCCATTTTGCTTGATTCTTTAAAAAACCAGAGAGTGTCCTGGTGTTCTAGTGGTTAGGATTTGGCGCTTTCTCTGCCATGGCCATGGTCCAATCCCTGGTTGGGGAACTGGGATCCCACAAGCCTCGCAGCGTGGCCGGGGGCTGGGGAAAAAAAGGATAAAAAGTAAAAAGCAAGAAAAAAAAAGTCTGGGACATCAAGCATTAATGTTAATTGAATAAATCAGTGAATGAATAAATACACCCCCTAGAAACTGTTTCTAGATTTTGCTTTTGATTCTCTGGAAAATCCTTCAAAAGCTTTTGGGCTGAGTGTCAGGGTTTGAATCCCAGTTCTGCCACTTTCTAGCTGTGTCCTTGATCAAGTTACTTAATCTCTTAATCTCTCTTAATCTCTCTGAGTTTTCTTATCTGTAAAAGGGGGATAATAATGATAATCCTCGTTTTATAGGATTATTAGGAGGATTAAATGAGTTAAATGCAAGGTGTTTGGAAAGGTGACTGAAACAGCAAGAGTAAGGGTTAAATGCATTTTAGTGGTTATTATTATTATTTCCACTGCTAGTGTCAGCTGTCTAATGCCATGAAGGTGATTAGATACGGGGCAAGGTGATTAGAGACAGACTGTGCTCCCAGCTGCCTGAGGCAAGTGTGGATGCCAGCCTAGGGCTGAGAAGAGGGCTCGACCAGCAGGGAGGTCCCACCAAAGACCTGTGTCAAGTGTAGACGCAAACAAACACCCAGGTGGTCCAAACTCCCTCCAGTTATTTTGTCCCACTGACCTGCCACTAAAGTCACCCCGGTTAAAATGTGTGGGGGAAGGGGTAATACCAAGATTGATCATCTTTCAAAATCCTCTTAGGAACAATTTCATTCATTCACTCAGCAAATCTTTATCAAGTCCCAACATCCTCTCCTCGGGGTGGTGTGGGATTCTGACACTGGTCAGGATTCAGAGGTTCCCTGGTGTCTGAGGCCAATGGGGCAGCTGAGAGTTCGGCATCGGAGAGGCCCTGAGAAGTGGGTGAGGATCAACAGGGCGCCCACATTCCTGTCAGCTTGATTTTATCCCCCTAGCCTCCCCTCATCCTATATGTGCCTACAGTGAATTAAAATGAGTTCCTTATTTGGGAGAATCCCCTGACAACTAGAAACCACGCCGGGTGTCCAAGCCCTGGGCGCACAGGTGAGGAGTGTTTGGAAAAGAAGTGATATTGCGGGCTTCCCTGGTGGCGCAGTGGTTGAGAGTCCGCCTGCCGATGCAGGGCACACGGG